ATAAAAACGTTAACATGGAGGTATAATTTAGCTGTTACCCATATTAAGGAAAATTATCAGAATTATGTTAATGACGTGTGTTTCGTATCGTATATTAGTTACCTAACCTCAACAGCTCATTCTTGGTCAGTTTTCAATGTTACATTTTCTTTTGTCCCATTTTTCTCATGCCTCAATGTACGAGTAGTAAATGAGTGTTCATGTTTAAAATAGCGAATTATTAACTTATTGTCTATAAGAGAGAAAGAGGACACAGATTTGATTATTTGTTTGTTTGCACACAAACTTGGCATCGAAACTACTGGACCAATTTGTAAAATTCTTTTAGCATTAGATTACTACATTATCTCAGATGAACATTACGGATCCGTACGAAAACTTCGTTAATTTTCTTAATGTTTCTTCGTAACCCAACGTCTGAAAAAAAATATGAAAACATCTTAATATTGTGCATGCTGCGCAAATTATTGACAATAGAGCATAGTAATTTACAACAGATTTATAGAGAACACCAATGTCTACAAAAAAGTTTGCGATATCAGATATTTGCGATGTCGCAATAATTACATTATCATGTCATATGCAATAGTAACGGCGATACAAACTAGGCCATATAATTTTTAAAGTTTACATGAAACATGAAAAATAAATTAAACAATCTGGCTGGAGACATTTGTTAAATTATTAAATTTTCAATTTTGGAGATTATTTAATATTCATTGCTGTCATTATCCTACGTCTAACCTTACTTATTACATTGTTTTGAATTTTCATACCACTTTACTTCGTAAAAACACCATAAACTATAGCGTAAGTATGTATATTATAAAGCAACAGCGTTGTTATTATTAACTTTTATTGCGTATATTATATTTACAGGTACCAAGTACTTGCACATAAATTTCTGGGGTACCGTTTGTAAACTAACCTTGTATGTGCGTATGTATTGCACTTAGTATGTGCATTCGATGAGGAAAATAGCTGAAAATATTTTGTTCTGCATCTGAAATATGTAATGTATATATAACGACTACTGTCATCAATTTTTCTGATTCTATTTTATTATTTTTATCATTAACGGTCACGGTATTGTGATTCACCAACGAATTTTTGGTACGTGACAATTTTTTTGCATCGTCTATATCATCATAGTCCAACGTGACTTTAATATCTCTACTGAATTAATTATGAGCCAGTCGCGACGTTGTCCTTTGATGTGTCCGCCCTTCTTAAATTGGTAGGTTAGTACCCGTCTCTGCCTGTTATAGAGTTCAAATAGAGCGTGTATGGAAGTTGGCGGTTCTCCAACATTTGGTTTATAAATTAATCAGTGAAGAGAAATATTGATGATACAAGTCTAGATATCTAGTTTTGCTACTGTTTTATTGTTTACATCTGTAATATTTTAAACAATACACTGAGAAATTAGTGTTTAGAACAAGTGGATGAAATTGTATATCTTGGACTTTGGTCCCGTAAATACGAAAAATGTACCGCCGTTTCTATATAGACAGAGGAGTGAATACAAGGAATGTAACGAGTGAATGAAAATGGGGAACCTATTTTGAAAGTAGAATATATGCAGGTGAGATGCGAGCGCTGTGCAGAATTTGCGGATTAATGCTGGCATACTGCATTCATAATATAAAAATTAGTGAGGGAGTCAGTTTGGAAAGAAAAAAGGATATGCATGCTATGTTGGTACTTATTTGCGAATTATGTTAATTCTTATATACGGATGAAGTTTGACGAAAGTTGTACCAGGGAGACACAGACTTGTAACAATCACATAGATCTTGTTGACACAAAATCTACGATATAATGGTAAGTCAGATAACTCTGATAAGTAGTCAAAAGTCACCGGAACAGCGTCCATACTTGAGACTAGTTTTGAATGTTAATGAAGTAAGAGCTGTAAGAAACAATAGAATTAGGTTTTACCTGTGTACGTTTTTTGGCGTGATAATAGATACCGAATTAAAGTATCTGTATTAAAGTGTTATGTCAGTATGTAACTGACAACACTGAGATGTTTTTTTCTCACCCACTTATTTCCTTGTCGTATAACGCCCAAATTGAAATACGGCTTTGTAAACAGCATCTATCTACTCGGACGACTTTGTTCACTATGTTGAATATCCATTAAGATGTCAATTTACTATAAACATTTCATTATAAATTTAAAAATTATAAAATATAGTAAACAAATATAACTCATAATGATGGTTAGAATAGTATTGCGTAGTTATCTGCTTGTCTGCGTGGCGCGTTCTAACGCACTTTCGAAATAGTCTTGTTTACGTATATCGATATCTGTTTAATATGTGAAAATCCCTAATCACCACCTTAGACATTAATTGCGTATTTTGTGCGTTCAGTATAAAGTCTGGCATTGACGAGTCATCCAAACTGATGCTGTCCAGATGGATAATCACATATAACTTTTTGCAGAGGAGCTTTTTGCGAGTGCTAAACTTAAAAATTGGTTATATGCGGGTATGAATAAAATATTCGTAAATGTGTAAAGAATGAAACTGCAAAATGTTTGATTCTAATGAATTTATTTATACTTAATTAATTTTTTTAGGGCAACTGCAAACTATGATGACCTCTTTAATAAATAGAATATAATTAATTAATTAAACAGATAGAATATTTAAAGTTGGATCAGTGGGTAAAGTATTGTGTGTTATCATACCAGAACTGTAGGCCACGTCGATTTAGATCCATCGTCAATTTCAAGCCAAATTTTTACGCAGTTTATCACAAAAAAAAAACGTTCTAAACGTGTGTTGGACATGATACAATTTTATTGATCTTACTCATAGTTATTTTAACCTAATTACTCTTGTTATAAGAGCTATTTCGCATTAGTTTATCTCACTTCGGGTAAACAGTTATTTTAACCTCGCCACTGAAGTATTAAAGGCTTAATTAAGGCAAGTTTTATGAGCGTTAAATTATGTTTTTAGAAATTTTAAGTAGGTGTATCTAACTGTATCTATGATATAAGAAAAGTGACAAAATAGAATGTTAGACGGGATTAGAATTGGAATTCATATGAATATTGTTTCTTTAATGAAACGTGATTGGTTTTTGTTTTGTTGACTGTTGATAGAATACTGATTAGATTATTTCATTTATAAGAAGCCTTATTTTATAAGACTACATCTTAAATTTTTAATTAGGCAGAGATTTCATGTTGTCAAAAAAAGTTTCCAAGTTACACATTAATTTCCAAATTATGTATACAAATAAATTTCCAGACATAATTTATATCATCACACATCGTTTTTGTCTGTGTCACCTACCAGGTCTAATTGTGTTTCCAAATCATCCAGGAACCCATTGAAATATACATATTATTTCATCAAATTTGGTACAGCCGTACAGGAGATGTTAAGTGACAAAAGTACAAGACAACAGTACAATTACAGAATTAGATATAATTAAGATATCACCAAGAAGATTTGACTCTACTTGCCTGCCTGCAGTAACGGTATACGCCGGGCTCCAGTAATGATTACAATGATAACAGGATGAGTTTGAAATATAAAACCGTCACGTTGCTACAGCTGTACGGTCACGTGTAATTTATAAACATTAATGTAGGTATATTGTCACAGTGACATGTTTGACATCTCTAAAGAATTTATTTAAAGGTAGGTACTAATAAATAATTTATGCGACAAGACTCTAAAGCATTTGTGTAAAATTATTCACACGTGACTCTACGTGAATTATACAAAAGTAAACTAAATAAAGTTTACATAAACAGACCTACTCTGTTTATGTACTTTGTTTTTATTATTATTATGCATTTATAATATATATTATTAAGATTAATATAGGTACGTAAGTACTTATTTTAAAAATAAATATTACAAAATGTTATTAAATAATTTTGTCCTGACTGTTACTGAAAATTATACATAGATACATGACCTAAACTGGTGGAGCTAGTTCACTTGAAATTATACATATACAATAATATATATACCATATATATAAGTTACTTTTATAATTAAGAAAGAATTTCCCATCGGTAAATACTTTAACATTCTACGTCAAATGCTTATTTATACATGCATCTTATTTGAATATAAAAAGAAATATATATATATATATGAAAGTCATTTTTGTTTACAATTTTAATAAGAAGAAGAGAAGTAAGTACAGTAAGTATAAACAGTTTTGGTATTAAATTATAATTGCTATTGTTAGTAAGTAAAGATTATTTAATACGTTTTCAGCGTATGAATTATGTATTATTATATAATGTAAATATTATGTTTTATGGAGATAAAGCCATACGCAATAATAACGAAATAATATCTGTGGTTTGCTCTGCAGCGATGGATAACAGTAGGTATGTCACTAATAGAGCATTTAGTACTATTTCAGATAGGAGTTGCGTTCATAAGTCCTTCCGAGGCTTAGAGTGCCAGTACTTATTCGTCCGGTGAAACTAAAGATCAGTTACGACCAACTGTATTAGAATAATACGAAAAATAATATTAGATTTGTATCCATTCCAGTGATTTAGGCGGGATTGATAAACAAAAATCCAAACATTATTACTAATATTTATAAAATTAATCCTATGTCACTCAGTGCCGCCTGCTTGAATTGGCATGAAAAGCATGTGCTGTACCAAATTTCATTCAATTCCGTCCAGCGTAATCTCCGTAATATACAAACCTTTTCACCTTGTAATATTACTCGATAGGTTTCATAAGATTTTTTTAGTGGAGCCAAATGTGGTATTGGAATTGTGCCTGTATCGCTGGTGGAGCTCTAGTAGAGGATGTTAAGATGAGCATGAGGCTGATTAGTTAGCCCATTGTCGTATATTACCAGGAATTTATCACGATGTTTTCCAGGGGGAACCGCGGTAAGGAAAATTTGTACAGATGATTTAAAAAAAATCTGTTTTTAAATATTTCAAATAAATTTCTTATTTATTTATTTGAGGTTAAATTAATACAATAATATGAATAGACCTACTATACTCGCTGAAATTTATACAATTTTGCTTACCACGCTTGTGGTATTGGTGGCACTTCCTTATAATATCTGTAAGTAGAATAAGACTATTAGTATTTATATAGCATTGAAATGGTATAAGCGCATTGTAGTCTAATACTTACACCTAAGAGACCGTGAAATCTTATGGGTACCAAAAAGAGGTAGAGAGAGACGATATTTCAATAATGAACAGAGGTTAGGTAGACAGTCTGTTATATACAATTTTTCAAAACTTTTGATTGTATTCTGTTAGTTACGACACGTGTGAGACAATATTATGCAAGCGGGTACAAAAAACCGATTTATCAAACTATAAAATTCAAATATACATGGGAACAGGTTTTTTGTTGTTAACGTTTAAATTTATTTCAGTTCATCGTATACAAATGTTTATCTTATTAAAAATGTACAGTTGCGTTTCTTACCAGACAGAAAGTAGGGATTGTGATAAAAAATTTGGATATGCATAAGTGGTAAAAAGCTGTCCTATATGAATAAATGATTTTGATTTTATCTTGGTTAAGGTTTATTTATTTATGTACTGACAAAATGTTATTTAAAAGAACTTCAAGGTCTGTTGTATGTAAAGGTTTTTTGTTACTATTGTAGTAGTGTTAGTGAATGACAAGTATACCAGTAAAAAACGTATTCGTCTATTTTAACAAATTAATGGATTATTGAGAGAGTGATTGTCCATTGCGCTGTCTCTATGTTAACAATGTTTCATTGGCTACATAGATTTCATTAACACTTTGTACTTAGAGAGATAATAGATATAGCAAACCTTACGTAATTCCTAAAACCGCGGGACATACTCGTAGCTACTACTTAATGGATTTATATTATATTATTTAGTACCGTTGAGCATGGTTGAGACCACAAATATTCAGCGCATATTTTCATAGTTAGAGTTTAATGTTAAATAGTTGACAACTAGAAGTCTTACCTTACAAATCCACCTAATGGCGAAAATGCTTTATCATTTAACGGTACCAGAATCGGTGAAGAACGCAGCCCTTGTGGTAATTTAATGAAATACTTCACGCTGCTCGGAATTAGAACACCTGAATATAACAACAGTTCTACAATAAACAGATCATTTACATCGGTATGGAATTAGACTAAAATAATAAATAGCATAGGACAAGTAGGTACTAGAATAAAACCAGTACAGTATAGAAATAGGTTTGGAACAACGAATTCGGTTGAAATTTGTCGTTCCAAATATATAACCACCGAAACGATTATTTACTCTAAAATATTCATATTTTTTTAACAAGGGAACATGAACCATGTTCTGGTTCTAAAATGTTTTACAATTAATCAATTACTAGTCACGATTTCTTTGAGCATATAATCTAGGTAATCTAAGTTAGTTTGCATTTAGTCGGTCATTTTCACTGTTGTGAGTGTAGAACCGAGATTATTAATATAGCCAGCCAACTTCCTCCTAGATGTGCAGAAGTTATCTGATATCTTCACAGGCCTCTCGGATCGACCTCACTATTTCGAGGATTATGTTCGTCGTGAGGCCACAGCTACACTCTCAGATTCACACTCCAGGATTACGTGACCGGACCTATTACACTATGATAATAATATGCGGTCTTACCATTTCCGTCGTATCTGTATTTACGCAATAGTGACTGTACACTTGGATTTTGTATATTAGAGAGCACGACTATAGCACATGGCTGTAATTAAAAGAAAAGTAATGGAATATTACGACTACTCACTACTTATTAAAATCTACGATGAAATTGATTTGTTTTAATTTTTACATTTTTCAATACAAAATTAAAATTTGACTCAATGCAAATTTAATTGAACGTATTAGAAACCCAGCAAATAGAAAAGTGCAAACCAATGTAGTTATCCTTGTTGGTTTAATAAATTATTACCTAGGTTTTTCAAAAAGAGTAATGTACTCCTTTTGAAAGTATTTATAAAAAAGTCATAATTGTTTTTTCATACCACCAACTTGATGTCTCCTTTATCACAGACTTTGGTCGCTAAATAACAGATGAATTTATACTGTATATTGTCATAGTCGTAGTATAAAAAACGTTCATTACCTTCTTCGGCCCTGTATTGATAAGTTTCTTTGTCCCATCGTAATTATATTCTTCTTGATCTCTCTCATCAAATTCTATAACTTTTTCGTTATTATTATCATGCTCTGTAATTGGTTTCAGTGTATGAGATGACATACTATCACAATTTATTGGTATCATCCTCTGAAAATTGAAAGTACCTATTTAAAAATATTGCTTAATAAATTTTTCGAAAATGTCTTATTCGAAATAATAAATATTGAGGGTGATAAATTAAAAGTGAGACTATATTACACAAATTTCATAAAAATGGTTTTTTTTTGTTTTCTGTTAAAAGTAAGATATGTAAAAATTATATTATAATTTCTCACATTTTCCACTTGAAAAACTTTTAAAACTATCACTATACAAATTCCAATGAAGCTCATTGTAGACTGCTTGAAATAATTATTTCCTGCATAATGATTTCATCAGGTCAAATTAGTTCGTTGTTCAGTTTGTAAACATTGAACCATATTGTTTTAGATTTGAGAATCGCAAATCAAACAACATATCTTGTTTTGAAACGATGTTTTAAAAGGTCAGTTTTTGGTATGGATTATTTAATAGTGTATTCGATATCGGACGTACCTACTAGTAGTTGTTCGGTAAGAAGGTGTTCCATTTTGTTTTTTTTTTTCACATTCCTCTGCATTATATTACACAATATTACGGAAACAAATTGTAAATTCGAAGAACTCATTGTTGATTCACTTTTGTTCATAGTCTGACAGTGTTGGATTTCAACCGAAAGTAGATCTTTGGTAACTGACGAAACGAAACGAAAAGAAACAATATTAGGGAGAGGTGAGATAGATGTGGATGATATCAGAGAAATATATAATCTTTAAATATCTGGCGAAAACCTGTAGTTCATTATTTGTTTATACAAGAACATTTTCAAGTGGTTATAAATAATAAATAAATACCATACTGAATAGTATAGTATACGGTTAGCATACTGTGGCATAACCAATATGTCTATGAAGAATTTCCATCGATTACAGTGCAAAAGTATATGGTTGACCTTGATTCAATAATCACACAACTTTCTTTGTGCATATTGAGTAGAGTGCGAGCACTACTTGCTTTGGTAATTAACCTCCTTAGAAATGAATAACCTGCCAGTGTAGTATTTCTAGTATAGACTACACTGGCAACTAATTACGATCCAATAACAATATGAACGAAATATAAACTAGCAATGTACATTTCCGTAATTTCAAATTATACCGTCAATGAAAGAACTGACATTGCTATCATTATGTTTAATTTCTTTAAAAAAAAAGTGGTTAGTATTAAAATTTAATTGATTTGTTATCACTATTGATTTTGGATTAGATGTCTTATGCTTCAAATCGTAATAAGTAAATAATCATGCAAACGCTACCACTGCTTGATAGATATTAAAATAAACATCACTAGATAATAAAGTATACATTATTGAAATACTCTTAAGTGTACAGTTTCTCATTTGAATGTATACAAGATTGTTTAATGTTTACTTAATAACATTATTTATAACACATATATCATGCAGCCATAGATGATATACACACATAATTTGGTTTCTGTTATAGTAAATTGAATGGTACCCTCAGACAGACAGGCGCCTCGCTAAATATAGGATCTCTGTTTATAAGTCCAATTGCTCTCGGTATTGGCTTCCTTAGATCATCTTTCAACAGTATGCACTATAGATTTTTGGTGGCCTACATCTGAACACGATGCTTGTTTTCGTTCATTGATTTAGACTAAGAGGTAGAAATAAGTATGTATGTTTAAAAATGTTTTTTTATCCTTGATTTACATTTAAGTTGACCTAGTTAAATTGACGTCCTGCTTTATAATAAATTACCGTATACTTGTATACGTATTATAAAACAAAGTGCCTCGGCGCGTCTGTTTGTATGTTTTGCTTAAGTAAGTTTAGGTGTATAATTCGAAAGGTTTTGTCTAAAGTAATTGAATTACTGCTGAATTAATTATACCCATTTTATATTATATACTATTAAAGTGGTTATACTACAAGTACATAGTTTTGTCTTTTATCCTTAGTTCACCTTCATTTTGATTACGAACACAATATATTTGAACAGATGTCAATTAAGATCCTATTGTCGCTTATCGAACCTCGTTACTGGGGCTCTTTATATTGAACGAGTCCCATTACATGCTTGATTCACTCGTAATATAGTATTTTCTATATCTCAAATAATATTTTGTATCAGGTGAATGTTAGCAAGTTGTTTCTAAGTCTTTGTAACGATAAATTGGTCTGAGTTTGAAGTTTAAAATGTCCAGAAGTCAAGTTCCGAAAAAATACAGGCGCCATTTGGGATATCCGGTTTTGAATGTTGCAACATATTCTACATTGTCACGGCGTCGTAGGAGTTATAGATATAATAAGTATGTATGAGTGTGAAGTTTTATTGTTCTGGATGAATAACGAAATGTCGTGCGTTTTGTTTTACATATGGTCTTCCGTTGTTGTGACTTAAATATTTAGTTTATTTTTGTATACTTTTTTTAGTTGTAGGCCATGTCTCTGTTTTTAAACTACTTTGTTTTGTTGTTATTATATTTTTCATTCAATTATATCGTCATGTGACGTCCATGGTTTATGCCTTGCTATTCCGGAGAACTAATCCAAAGATGTTATGGCGTCGGAACCTATAATTTGTATGTACCTACATAACGTGGTACTTTCGCCAAGAATAAACTAATTTTAATAATACCTTATAAAATCATATTAAAGTTTATTCTTCGTAAAACATTATATTAGCTCCCGTAATACAGTAAGAAGGTTCAGTTTTTTCACAAAATAAAATCAACTGACTACCAATCGCGTTTTAAAATGCGAATGCAGTACAGAAGTAGTGGGGTATAAAGTGTAAAATTTCCAACTAAAAATATAAATTTATAATATCAAAGGTTTTAATTTCTGCGTATCTCTCAGTCTTCGTTTGTAATGTTTCAAAGCAAATTATTTATGTTACCCACTGTCTGTCGTTACTCATTACCAGCATTATTTATGATAATTGACGCGAAGTAAATGGGTACTTCAAACAAATTAAATGAAACAAATATTTATCTTAAATTTCTGGCTGAATCATCGTTTATAACCTTTCTAAATATCGATCTTAGTCATGTAAGTTAAAAATAAAATACACTTACCTGAATCTATTTTTAGCGTTTATTTATTAAGTATTATAGTTTAGAGTGTTATCAGTGACAGCTTTCACATTTCTAAGTATGCACTGCATAGTCTATTGAATTGAAATTCTATCCTATATGAATACTATGTCTGGACTCATCTTGATATATAATTAGTGGGTGCGATACATCAATGATGTTGCCAACATGCTGCTGTAATTAACATTGCACTTACTTTACATATTTCATTTAAGTACTTACATACACTCGCATTGTGACACTAAGACATTTAAACAATCAAATAGATTGAGGGGGGGGGGGTCTTTTGGGGACGACTACATTGTCCAGCAGGCAGTTTTAGTCGCATGAGGACCAACTAGATTTTATAGATGCCAAAACATTATTCACAATACATTATTCTGTTGTTTGATGGTGGTGTTGTGTTTGTTGCAGGTCAACCGGGAACTTCTCAGCGGGCGCGGCGGGTGGCGGGTGCGGGGCCCCGCGCTCCGCTCCCGCCACCCCGCTGCAGCTCGAGCCACATCCTCGCACCAAACATGATAAGTGAGTACCAAAGATTTACACGAGGTAAACTTTTTATAACGATTTCATTGTTTCGTTTAGTATAATATCTATTAATGAGCAGCTAGCTAGTATTGATGCTTTATATTACTGGAAAATTGTACGTTTTTCCTGGCCGTCAAACAGCTGGCTTTGTAAGTTGTGTTACGGTTAAAGGACGAGATGAGGGAAATTACATGATATGGAGCATGACATTATAGTTCTCTGGAATGGTAAGGCACGTTGTGTGGTGCTCTTCACATATATGTATATATAGGCGACGATAATCACTTACCATCACTACCTTCAGCTAGTTTGTCATTCCAGTTATATAAAACAAATAGCTATAGCTTTTCATTTTCCTAATTGTTTTATTAAGTTGCCAGACTAGTTCGCTCTTTTTCTCTCTCTCTATCCTAGTTTTACTTCCAATTAACTATTATTAAAGTCAACGTTGCATTAATGATAAGATAATAACGTACGTATTGTTTTTGGGCCATTATTTATCAACATTGTATTGATTATCGTAATGATTATACCGCCATTACAGTGTTTGAGCTGAGGCATGTAATGAGGATCACCTGAGTGTGTGCCGCGATTACGACCAAACGTTTCAGTGAAAAAAGATATGCTGTATATATTCCTATACAAAATTCCCAAATAGCCTTTGCTGTCCTTGGAGCATTATGGAAATATTGGTGTATAATTAGTTATGTGATAATTAATATATTTGTGTGTAAAAATGGCGATAGAGCAAGAGGTGAGCGACCAGTCTGCCAACCGGATGATGACGGTTATGAATTTTGTGTATGACGGATTCAGGTAATTATTCTATTACTGTTTTGCTAGGCTTTATTTAACTTATTGCGTGCATAGTAGGTATGCGCCTCTTTCCGGTTCTTTTGTAAACCATTTTTCAAATATTTGTCCGATAAAGCTGAAATTTTGTATGTTTATATGAATTGGACGACAGTATCTTTTTGTTTACTGAAGAAGCAAACAAGCAGACGGCATACTGATGAAAAATTGCAATCATAGTCTATACATGAATAGCACCGTGGAAATTAATTCGATGTTTTTTATTTTTTCGTGATTATGAGCTGATAATGATTACTATGCTAGATGAATTCTAGCATAGTGGTCACAAGAATTCTCTAATAAACGATACGATCCACGGAGTTGGTGTTATTATAATTTAATTTGTATCGCTGATTACTAAAACTACAGATATTTTTTTATGAAATTCACCAATAAGTAACTTAAAGTTTTGATTTTAACAAGGGATTTTCAATAACGGCATAAGTTGAATAATTGTTTGATATGTATATTTTGTCATGTCTCTTTAGTTATTTGACAAATACGAGTACTATCCGTTCTGATAATCTGTGTCGTAGGTGTGATAAAATAAGCATAATTACTCCAGGTGGCAATTAAAGAGATACTATTATGAATTTTGTTTAGTTTGATCGTATCGAGTTTGAAATAATTTGATTAATTTAGTTAGCTGATAACATAGGTTATATTTCTATTTACAATTATCTAGCTTGGCTAACGTTATTTAATGTTACTTTGATGTCGACTTCGACTTAATATGCATGGTAGTCAGAACAACTATCCATACTACTACTATAAACATGCTGTGTTATCTTTTTAAAACTTAATGGTTGAACGTATTGATTATCGAAATAATATAAACATATTATTTCGAATACATCAATTTAATTATTGCATGTTTATTTTTTATTATATCTTAAAAAATAAATACCGTCAATGGGTCAATCAATTCAATAAAATAAATAAGTTTTTTTGATATACAGAAAATAAAGGTGATTATGAGAAGTAAGTATATTATTAAGACAATTGTATAGTAAATATATTATTTACTATATCCTAGTTGTCAGTACTACACAGTGACACGAGACGTTGATATAATATATTTTATCGTCAAGTATGTTTAGATATCAATACACTTGTTAGTTACAAGCGAAGATAATATCTGTGGCTAAATTCAGACTAAGATTTTTAATTCAGTTGTCAGTGTTTGTGTATGCTGTATACGTTTCAAATTATTCATTTAAATACAATATTATCGAAATAACTTACGTATAAATTAGTATCGTGATACATGTGATGGGTAGAGATCAAAATGTTTTATATGTGACACGCTAAATATAAAATATTAGTATGATACCTGAGCCATGTGGAACAACGTTAATATTCGTATCTTATTTGGTAAATTATTAAGAACGAAGATACATCTGAAGCGGTATGTAGTTTTATTTTAAGGCCTTACTTATTATATATACCTTATTTATAAACGCAAAATATTTTTTTCGCTAAAAGAGCGTAATATTTTTTCTATATCTGTATGAGAAAATAGAAATTTTTGATAAAATTTGTGATAATATAAAGGGTGTTCTGTAGATTATAGGGTTGGTTTCAGCATTGCCGTTAGATGTGTCTAATAATAACATATGATGCACTGAAATAGAACGTAATTTTTTTTTTTTTAATCTTTTAACTAAAATCTAACAGTATCATATCAACCGATAGAAATGCAACTTATATAATTCTAGTCTGTATTAGTGATGGATAGAGTAGGAGTGCATACATACATAGTTCGACTCTAGCTCTTTGCACTGCCAAAGGAGATTTCATTTGGGCGGCGTAGTATATTGTGTGGTAACCATAAAACTATTAATGTAGTGTATATACATATACTTAGATTATTTACTGCTAAGTATTATTCATTTTTAGTAATATCAATACGTATGCGTAAACATATAGAATACTATCTGTGCCCGCAGTTATACCCGCATTAAATTTATAACCTATGTGTTATTTTGATGTATAAGCTACATTACTGTAAAGTTTCATCAAAAGCCATTTAGTAGTGTTTGCGTGAAAGAGTAACAAACATCCATCCATCCATCTATCTATCTATTCCATACTCACAAACTTTCGCGTTTATAATATTAGTAAGATGAAACGTACAGTAATACCATCATAAATTTAATTAATCTTCTTTCATATTATATAATGTAATAGTCAACAGTCCACTCAATAATGTACAGATCTAAATAATGCAAGTAATAGCCGAGCAATGGTACCTATTATAATATTTTTTCTGTTATAATAGACTTCCATAAATTTACAAAATGTTGATAGTCTATTAATAAATCAGATTTTACGATTAGAGCTAACATTGCGTGCGTGCAGGTAGAGCGTTGTTATTATACCCCAACTGTCATGTTAATCGACTGGATTAACTGCTAATACACTTTCAACTTTGTTTTAATACGATGAAGGTAAAATTTCTTTATTTTAGACCAATATACCAACGTTCAATATGCAAGTGTCTGCATTGTTCGAAGAGTTTTTAAGGGTATATACACGTTTGTTATCTAGTATCGTGGCTGCTGCCTGCCACCCCTCGGGCCGTGAAGACCGACACAAAATGAATATATTTTTTATTTTATTCGTATTTTAGTTTCTAGACCTAATTTAAAATGTTATTATTAAATGTATTTGCTAATTCAAAAAGTTGCTAGAGTAGTTCGCTGTGGTTTTACCCGCGTGGTCTTTGTCTATATATGTCAGGATTTGTACTTTTCAAGCAGTGAAAGAACTTCATAAATATGTGAAGTAGTAATTCCGGAGTTTCCTTTCTTAATAAAATTCGTAATAAAATTCACTTTCTCTCTTTATCTCTATAATATTAGTATAGATCTACTGATGCTTTAATAAAATGAATTCTAAACGGATTAATTATTTTTTATGTAGTTCTATGTTGCATAACATAATGTTAGTAATGTAATGACTGTAATTATGTCGTGCGTTGGTCTCATTACTGCACCTTAAGTGGGCGTACAACAATTAATGCTTCAATTGTGAACCTTGGTCAGTTCTATACCTGCATCAATTAACCGCATACGTGCATTCAATTAGTTCAGTAACAATTTCTTTTAATTCTTTTGCTATAACTTATAGTACTTTAACTTATTTGAATTAAAGTATGTATGTCGAATGGTGTTCGATTGATTTCTAACAATGTCATTTTTAACGTTAAAGTTAATAATTACGTTTATATAACTGTGATTATGGATTGCCAAGGATTAAAAGATCTAGTCTCATTCTCAATCCTGAATACTATGTAGTAAGCGTTCAGCGGCGGCTTCACGCATAGCAAGGCTCAGGGCGGCAGGTCTTTGCGAGGCACTTCCGGGTTGTTTAAAATTTTCTTGGGTTGGTTCGTGAGGCGAGGTGCAAGAGCGAGGCCCCGTGCAATTGCCCTGTTCGCCATCTCCTAATAGCGCTACTGTAATTGTTATTAATTTACCAATATACTGACTGTTATTCAATTCCTAATAATTTCTTCCGCTCGTCTATCGAATGCTGGTAAAAATTAGTCAGCCATAATAATGGCTGACTTTGATTCAAAGAACCCCATACCCCGAATAGAAAATTCGGGGTAAGGGGTAATAAGAATTACAAGTCACATGACTAGTAATGTGCCTAGTCAGGTATACTTCCTTGAAGACATCCTTGGGAAATCGCCTGGGCTAATTGACCTCACTTCATGCTCATCCTATCATCCTCTACTAGTGCACCGTCAGCGTATACCGTTACAGCTGGTGGGAACACTGTCCATTATCATCCATAAAAAATTGATTATCTATTGTATAATAGGGGTCGTGTATATATCACGCTTGTCAAGTCCGGTAAAGTCATATACACAATATTTGCGTCAACTTGCGGCCATTATTCCAATCAACATAGATAATATGTCCTGGCCTGTCCTCGATATACAATAATATTACTCTGTAGTCTGTACCGATAGCATATTAAACAACTAGCAATATAGCATATAATATTATTATCTACTTCAAATGCACATACCAGAAATAATATTTGTGTTATGTGATATTATCGCCGATTGATGTAATATAATCATATATTTATTAATAATAAATTAATTGTAATTAATTCTAAATAGTAAATAA